ACCAGATTGTTTTCATGTGTTCATGATATTTGTTTACATGCATGTATGTTAAAAATGTTCTTTGACATTCACCATTTCCCTCTTTTCCTTCCACTATCTCTTAAGACAAGTATTGATCTGCTACCCAAATTGTCAGCCGGGATGCCGCCCGCGCCACCGAGAGGGGTTCTCACGACTGACCACACTCACGCTGGGCTCCGCGGTTCCGAGAGGACCGGGGACCCCGCAACATCAGAGGCACTGTTCGCACCCCCCCATGGCACTTAAGGTACTGTCCCTTAATGTCAAGGGTCTTAACTCCCCCAACAAGCGTAGACTACTGGTAAGGGACCTAAAGACCAAAAGAATTGACATTGCACTGATACAGGAGACACACCTCCCCAGGTCGGCGCCCACCAGACTAACTGACAGAACCTACACGATAGTACACGAAGCACGCTCCCAACGTAAGAGAGCAGGCGTGGCGATCCTCCTGCATAAACACTGCCCCCTACACGTCACCACCATCCAAGCCGACCCAGAGGGGAGATTCCTATACATAGGAGGCACTCTATACACCACAAAAATACACATCATTAACGTATACGCACCCAACGAACCAGACCAACTGTTCTGGACAAACCTAGAGATGCTGGTGGCGGGGGCTAGGGGGGGGTTCTCCTCGTTGGAGGAGATTTCAACGTGGTGCCAAGCCCGGCGGCGGATAGAAGCTCAAAACCTGGCACCGTGAGATCACAGAGCAGGGGGAGCCAAGATAAGCTATTACACATGTTCTTGACACACACAGGCCTACTGGATGCTTGGCGGCTGCAGCACCCAACCACATCTGACTACACATTTTACTCCGCACCACATAACACCTACTCCAGAATAGATAACATGTTCCTTAATGGGGCAGGGATGGCCAAACTCCTCCACTCAGACATTAACAGTACCACGTGGTCAGATCACGCGGACGTACCACTTACGTTAGACAACTTATGCTATAAATCCAACTGGTCATGGAGGCTCAACACTAGCCTCCTGAGGGACGACAACATACAAACATTGACCCGACAGGCTATCACAGAATACTTTGAAACCAATGCTACTTCCGAAGCTAACCCCACCGCGATCTGGGCAGCACACAAAGCAGTCCTACGCGGCCACTTCATTAAACTAGCCACCCAAAAAAAGCGAGCCAAAACAAAACAGCTGCTCGACCTACAGTCAGCCCTCCGTAAAAAGGAGCAACAACACAAAACCAACCCAACTGACACGAACCTCAGGGAACTAAACGCACTTAGGCACTCCATCAGGGACATTACGCTGGAGGCGGTATCGCGCTCCTTACTGTGGTCGAAACGCCTATTCTATGAAAAGGCAAATAAGACAGATACACTCTTGGCTAGGGTCCTGCGCCCACGGCCGCAAGGCAAAACCATAACGAAAATACGTACAACAACGAACACACTAGCAAAGACGCCGGACGCCATTAGTGAAGTGTTTACATCATATTTCTCAGACCTCTACAATCACTCCCCCCACCTCCAGGCCACCAACGCGACTTACATGGCACGCATCCACCAATTCCTCACCGAACTTACCATCCAAAAAGTGAGCCAAGCAGATGCTGACGCACTTAGAGACCCTATCACACAACTCGAAGTGGAGGCAGCCATAACCTCCCTGAAAGGCAATAAGGCACCAGGGCCTGACAGATATGACGTCAGTTATTACAAACAATTTAAAGAAGTATTGGCCCCCCCACTCACAGTCCTCAGTAACCACTTTATGCAGGGCGGGAAACCCGACAGAGATATGGCAACGGCAAATGTAGTACTACTGCCAAAACCCGGGAAAGATGACACATTAGCCCCCAGCTACAGGCCAATATCCCTCATCAACACCGACCTCAAGATATTCGCTAAAATATTAGCATCCAGACTCAACCCCCTTCTCCCGCGCCTGATCCACCCGGACCAGGTGGGATTCCTGCCCGGACGCCAACTCTATGAAAACACACGACGAGGGGTTAGCACAACATGGCACATGGGGGAATCCAAGGCGCCCTCTCTGGCGCTCTCACTGGATGCGGAGAAGGCATTTGACAGGGTGCTGTGGCCTTACTTATTCGAACTACTCCGTCTCCAGGGGTTCCCAACAACTTTTGTAACAACAATACAAGCATTATACACTGACCTGAGGGCACAAATACTCATCACGGGGGCACACAAAACACCCTTCACCCTGCGAAACGGCACCAGACAGGGCTGTCCCCTATCCCCCTTACTATTCGCTCTAACTCTAGAGCCGCTGCTACAAGCTATTCGGCAACACCCACACATTAAAGGCATTGAAATTGGTGGCACACCCTTCACGGTCTCGGCATACGCCGACGATATCCTACTAACACTAAGGGAACCGATACCCTCGCTCCATCATCTAACACAAGTCCTGGAGCGTTTCGGGGATATAGCGGGGTACAAAATCAACTACTCCAAGTCAGTGGCAATGCCCTTCCACCTAGAGCCCCTAGACGTTGCCCACATACACCGCACATATCACTTCAAGATCGCCACAGACGAAGTCATGTACCTAGGGATCCGCCTAACATCCAATACATCCTCTCTCTTTACACGAAACTACACGCCCCTACTCCGGACCCTCCATACTGAACTAGAGCAGTGGACAGACAGACCCATCTCCTGGCTGGGACGCGTAAACTCTATAAAAATGAATGTGCTACCGAGGCTCTTGTTCCTCTTCCAGGCACTCCCGGTACGGGTTACCAAAGGAGACCTCGCAGGCATACAAAGGGCGATAGATTCCTTCATTTGGCACAACAAACGCCCAAGAATAGCTCGCGAACTTATGTACCGACCAAAACCCAGAGGGGGACTGGGACTGCCTAATCTATACGCTTACTACTTAGCAGCGCAGCTAACTCAGGTCATACAATGGCACGCACCTCCAGACAGGAGACGGTGGGTGGATCTGGAATCATTAATGACAGGACAAGACCTTCCACAGTTTCACATATGGGCACCTAGAACTCAAAGAGCCATACTACGAACCACAAACCCGGCCATACTCAATTCCATACAGATATGGGACCAAACCAAAACTAAATACGCCCTTAGCCCCCGCTTATCTCCCATGGCGCCGGTCCTCAGAAACAGAGATTTTCCCCCAGGCATGAGGGCGCGAGACTACAAGGGACTGGAGGCCACGGGACTCCAACGCTATGTCCATTTATTTGTGAACCAAAAAGTGGTCACATACGACCACCTATGCACCAAAGCCACCTTACAAACAAGAGACTATTTCAGGTACCTACAGATTCGAGACTTCGCGCAAAAGCCCGAAGTGCAAAAAGCGGCCCTGACTCCACTAACCTTTTTCGAAAAACTTTGTCACGATGAAACTACACAAACTAAACTTATAACACTACTGTACAACCACCTTAATGGGGCAACGGGAGGGGAGGGCACGCTACGCTACACTGACCAATGGGAAGCCGACCTGGGGGAGGTCCTGGAGGGCACGGAGTGGCAAGATATCTGGGAGGCATGCTCCAGAACCACAATGTGTGTAACACTCCAAGAACAATCTTATAAGACGCTATTCCGATGGTATACGACCCCGGTAAAACAGAAACACATGGGACTGAACCCCACAGACGACTGTTGGCATAGGTGCGGGGGACGGGGCACATACATCCACATGTGGTGGGAATGCCCAGAGGTCAAGGCATACTGGCGTAACATAGTAGAGCTCGGCTCACAAATCATAAAACAACGACTGACGCTAGACCCATGGGCGTGCCTACTATCAAGGCCCACAGAGGGCCTCCCCAGACACGAACAAAGACTTCTCAACATGCTATATCTAGCGGCCCGAAGGGCCCTAGCACAACAGTGGTCATGCCCAGACCTCCCACAAATAGCCCTGGTCAAGGCAAAAATGCGAGACAATTACATAATGGATAAATTAACAGCACAGGTGTGAAACACTATGACTAAGTTTCAGAAGGTCTGGGACCTGTGGGAGCAATACGACAGTTAAATCCTGAATCGGGGCGTAGGGCGGCATGCGGGAGCTCCGCAAAATGGCAATAATTGGGACATACCCAATGCTAAATACTACACCAGCGCCTGGACTGGCGGAAGCGGCGCCACTATGGGACAGGGGCACGGACACACACACCACACGGAGTGCTACCCGGGGAACCCGGGGACCTCTGCTACTGGTCCCTCGGGAAACCATACTAAGACGACACCTACACGCATTTACTTGTCTATACTTTCCTATCTCTCATCTCTACCTACCTATTACAAGCAGGCACTCCAGACTCGCAAGCTGGTGAAAGAGGAGTCAGGCTTAAATACGCTTATGCTCTGCAGACAATGGGGGAAGTCGGGGGAACAGTCACGGGCCCAAAGAGGTCTGGGACTGCGACTCTACTCCCTACGCCTACCCCTCCACACTACCACCATTGTATATAGTTAATTGTGCTTGCCAGCATAACCGAAAATATCGGACGGGGACGTCCGCAGGGTATAAAGTGTCGGTAAAGTGCTTAAAATAACCAATGCAACTTTCATTCTGTAACAATGTACGACACTGCGCTGTCACTTGCATATGTACACCTGCATATTTCTGTGTTGACCTCTTCGTCAGACCAAAAATAAAGAATTAAAAAAAAAAAAAAAAGCAGAGCCAGAATAAGATTGTGCAGGGCCCTAGACAGGAAGCCAGAAAAAAACCCCACTCAGAACCCTGTGCTCTGTTCTGTGAATGGTGGTGGCTAAATGTCATGTGTGGATGGAGAGTGTTGTGTGTGTGGAGGAAGCTGAGTGCTGTATATGAGAGGGAGGCTGAGTGTGCGTGTGTGTGCTGGTTGAGTGTTATGTTTGTGGTGGTTGAATTTTGTGTGTGGAGGAGGCTGAGTTTTAGTTTGTGGAGGGGAGGCTGAGAAGGGCTGGGTGATTTGTGTGTGGGAGGCTGTGTTGTGAGTGTGTCTTGGAAAGGGAGGTTGAGTGTATGGGGAAGCTTCCCCACTAGTGATGTACCGAACGGTTCGCGAACGGTTCGCCACGGTTCGTCGTGAACGGTTCGCCATGGACTCCAGTCAGCAGACACATTCCAGCCAATCAGCAGCAGACCCTCCCTCCCAGACCCTCCCACCTCCTGGACAGCTCACTAAGAATGCAGCTTCAAAATGGATGTTGTCCAGGAGGTGGGAGGGTCTGGGTGGGAGGGTCTGCTGCTGATTGGCTGGAATATGTCTGCTGACTGGAGTCCGCGGCGAACCGTTCGTGGCGAACTGTGGCGAACCATTCACGAACCATTTGGCGAACCGTTCGGGACGTCACTATTCCCACACATCTTTCCTTATTTTTGTTTTCATTTCCCTGCGTCCTGCTTACCTTTTAGTAAGAGGGTATTGTTATCCCTGTTGGTGCAGTGTAGGAAAAATGGACTGCATCCCTGGTGGTTCCGTGGGAAAGCATTGTTATCTGAACCTCTTTCGGTTCAGTTGCAGATCACTTTAAGAATCCATCATAGTCCCAGCAGTGCACTTCTGCGAAGCTCTGAGTCCTTGAGAAGCGCTTGGACCATAAGGGAGCTCTTAGAGTGATCTGCACCATATAAAAGTGCAGACCACAAAATATCCACACCAGACCACTAATATGTACATTATTCAAGTGACCACTAGTACTCTCTCCACGTGACCACTAGAAGTAGTGAGGAGGGTATGGACAATCAGGAAGATCTTTTGATCTCTCTGGCTGCTCAGGGATGTCCTCTGTTATAGACAAATCTGAACTCCAAACCGGGACACGTGGCCACTTGCACCCTGCCTCAGCACGGGCCCTGGCTGCCGCTTATGCTGCCGCCTATGCTGCCGCCTATGCTGCTTTATGGGTAATCTGCTCTGAATAACAGCTTTGATTTTTATAAATTAGAAATGCTGGATTTTTGTCATATGACTTCCTGTTTGTGAGCATTTTGATCATTTACAAACATTGGTTGTACATTCTGGTGGCATTTTTAGGAACCTGCATTTCCTCAAAACACCAGCAATTTATTGAAAAAAAATATTAATATGAAGCTCTTTATTTTTGCTTATTTTATTATATTTTATTTTTCCATTTAGTTAATTTCTTTTTAATTTTTTTTTTAACTTACACCTACTATATGTGGCAAACCTGTGCTTTTTCTTTGGTAACAATACTTCAGTTTGTGCAAGAAGTACTGCAAGATAAGGTAAACCATATCATCTTATATACTCTTTATCCCCTGATATTTCTGCAAAGAATGAAGGAGCAAATGCAAATTGCAAACATTGCAGACCCATGTTATTTTTAGATTCTGGTGGTATTTTTGGTAGTCTGCATTCCTGAAAATATAAGCAGATTGCTTACAAACACTCATAAGCACAATATGCTAATCTTACTGCTCGGGATAATGTAGTATGCATCCTTTACTTTAATCCCTTGTCATATTTAATGCTGCTTATCTTCCTGCACAGGATAAATAAATAACATTAAAAAAATTAGCATTTCTCACTTTTAAAGCAAACCTGATTAACAGTAAATATACATAATCGGTGTTGTGCCCAGGGTTTATGCGCTCACTGAATATTACAAGTCATAAGTCAGAATCCTTGCGATCCGAATTTTTTTTTTTTTGGAAGTGTTTATAATTACAGCATGTTTGCAAAGTCAACTTCTCAATATAAGAATGCTGTTTTCTGGAGTTCTGGTTTATATAGCAGAGGAGAGACGCTCCAAGTTTTCACTGTTGAAACCTGATTCACTGTATATATGAAGGTGGTGGCTTTGAAAGGCGAGGAGGAAAAGCTATTAAGCAGAGCAGTCAATGGATCCAGATCCAAATATTAAAAATAGTATTAATAACATGAAACACCCAACACCAAAGGCAGGGCCACTACATATGAATGTGCTTTGCACCACAGGGAGGGAAAGCAGGGGGAAACAAATGGAGATATTTTTTACATACATCCTATAGACTGTAAGCTCCTTTGAGCAGGATCCTCTTCAACCTATCGTTCCTGTAAGTTTTCTTGTAATTGTCCTATTTATAGTTAAATCCCCCATCTCATAACATTGTAAAGCGCTACGGAATCTGTTGGCGCTATATAAATGGCAATAATAATAATAATAATAATAATACATTTGTAAGTGAAATTCTTAAAAAAGAAAACAAAGGGGTGAAATGAGTATTGATGAATTAGGAAAGACGTAATATGAAATAAAGTATAAGAAAGAAAAGAACAATATTAAATAACTTACTGTGTGTGAGTCTGAAAAGTAAAAAAACGTAGGACAGTATAGTGTGAGCTTAATAGGAAATATGCTAAACATTATATGTAATATATACTATGTGCTGGAATTACTTGATTCTAAACACAGCTAGGGCCGGCTCCTATTACAACAGACCTTGGCTAATAGTTTACAGAACCAGGGAACATCAGGAGCAAGGGTACGATTCTCTGATTAACTGATCATCTATCAATCATGGTGACAGTCTCAATCACGTTGGCTGACGAACATTCTGCAACCACTAAATCACAATCATTTTGTTCAACATTGAACCGATTACAAATCTGTGGATAGATATGTTATTAAACAAAGTTTGAAATGTTGCTTTGCCACATTACACTAATGTTTTTTTGTATTTGTAAGTATGTGAGAATTGTTTTCAAACAACTCTTGGATCAGTAAAAACTGAATATACAGATGTTGAGCGTTGCTGAGAATTGAATTTTTTATATCGAGATCATTTGTTTTCGATACCCCCGAAAAGTGCCTCCTGTTTTTTTGCTATCACATCGGTGATAGATTTTTGTACACCATAACACCATTACTTTAGTATTGTGCATCATAGCAGTATGTGTTCCTTACATTTCTGTGCTATGACTAGCCTCCTTTTTGAGCCCTGGTATACATGAGCATTCTGGTGTGCTTTAGCCATAACACTGTATTCATAGAAGGAACATTGCCAGTTGTTAAAATGCTATTTAGGGAAGATGTTATCTTTTAATTATCATCTCAGATCCTTCAAGAAAGCTTTTTCAGGTCAACCTGACCCACTTTGTAGGTGAAGTCATGTGAAAGTCAGGGCTCATTGCAAGGAATTCATTCATGACTTACATATAGAATTTGCCAGGTACTTCACATAATATGGATATTGAGTTTCTACACTTTTTAAGTCCAAATCAAATTTGGAAGTACATTACAAAAGTCAATGAGCTCAGTAAAGGGGATCATACTAATTTTCTTTGAAACCATATTTGAGACACTTTTAGGACGAGTTAGACTATATTTCTAAGACTAGAACCATTTCCTTTATGAACAAAAAACTGGCTGTCCGGGCACTCAAAGTGTTACATCCAAAGGCAGATTTTTATAGGAAACAGACGCAATGTTTCGGCCCCAGTCAGAGCCTTTCTCAAGCCAAGGATAATCTGCCTTTGGATTTAACCCTTTGAGTGCCCAGATAGTGTATCATTCTATACACTGTATGTATGGGGCATGTAGTCCCCCAAAGCTGTGAAGCCCCATTGAAATATCCATCGTCTTAGCGTGTTCCCATTTGTTGGAAATTACGTCCTGCCTGGGAATGACTGAACTAGGCAGAGCTGGTCCTATTCCTGATTATCATTATTTTTATGCCATTTATATAGGAATAGTAGGCAGTCAGACCAGTGTGAATGCATGCCAGGTTGACTGCCAATCAGGCAAGCCAGCCCCTTGAGTGTGGAGCACACAGAGAGCTCTGTCCTGAAGGTCTCTGCATGGTTCTAGTTCCCGAGCTATGCTTTATGTGAAAATTAATTTGAGAGGGACAGTACCCTGAAATAAGTACTGTCCCCCTTAAATCAGGACAGTCGAAGACCTGCTCCACGTAGATAGAACCCTGCATTCATATGTGCTGACTCTCCATACAGATATACCTCTTCTTTAACATGTGTTGACACTACACACAGCTAGATCAATGCATTCATATTATTATTATTGGTATTTACATAGCGCCAACTTATTCCGCAGTGCTTTACAATGTTATGAAAAGGGAGAATTTAACAATAAATGAGACCATTACAAAATGATACGGGAACAATAGGTAGATGAGGACCCTGCTCAAACTCCATGTGCAAAGTTGTGTGCATGCTTGCTTGCAGGCATAAAACAGAGTGCCAAGCGAGATGTCTTCCTTGCCAACCTAAAAGATTCAATTCATTAATAAGTACACACACACTAACATTAAATTATGTCAGCACATTGGCAACAACACAATTGAAACAATCACTTGAGACTTAGGCTATTAAAGACTCATGCAGCGGAATGTTAATCTGCTCATGATGTTTAATACATTACATTAAATGTGAATATAATAGCTACATTACCAAAACCATTCAGAAACTATAGAGAATCTACTCCAACATTCCATAATCATAATAAAAACTACTGTTCCCCAGCTGGACGCCATTTACAGACAAAAATCAAGTTATCCAAAATCTTGTGACCAGCGTCTTGGAGAGGGTTTTCAAGGCATGAAGACATTTACAGATGGTCATGTTATTTAATAGGAGCCATGCTTAAATGTGGACTTTCCCATCATCTTCCATTAACTTTCTTTCAGAGTACACGAAATACAAGTTAACCGGTATTAAACGATATTTAAAT